ACCATTTTGATGGGCAGCAGCCCGGAAAGATGGGTTCGAGGGTCTTCCATTCCTCTACCCCTATCATTAACCTCTCGAGAGAATTTTCCTTTCGCCGCATATTTAGGGTGACCCCTTGTTACACAGATACTATACAATTACAAATATCCATGCCTTTTCAGGGATTCGAACATGCCCCGTTCCGTACGACAGTCAGTACTGCTGACCACTGTGCCGGTTGGGCGGCTACTTTAGAAGTAAAGTTTTAAAGTTTTCATATTCAGTTAAACAAATATTCTTTTATGCACATATCCAAAGTTACTGAATTTGCAAAAAGAGTTTTTAAATACCATACTTATGAAGTACAGAAGCTAGACTATAAAAAAATTTAAAATCAAAATATTTTTTTTAAATCAAAATAGAAAAAAAAAACTTTAAGTGTAGGAAGGGTTTTCACCTAAACCATTATTATTATTTGTCTTCTGTATAAAATATAAATTATATAGATAACTCTTTTCTTACTCCACCTCTCAAAATCTACTATACAAATATTTTATTATTTATAATTCATAACAGCTAGTAACAAATCAAATACTAAAAAATCGCATTAAATGTTTACACAAGCTGGAACTGAAAGACACAATTTCCTTGTTTCTCATCTAAATAATTGTGTGATACTTTATCGCTATACTCATCATCTTAAGTCATATGTTAATGACAGTTACTGTCTGCATATTTATGATAATTATCATATCCACCTTATGAAGAGTTTTTAGTTACTAAGCTCCAACACGTGCATGAAAAAATTATTAATACAAAACAGCATAATTTTAAAACCACAGTCTTTGAGGACTTAAATCTCCAATGAGACGCTCATCTGCAAATTTCAGTTTATTACTTACTTAGTAAGATCAACAATATTTCTTTTGGTAAAAATTCTAATTTCCAAAGTCTTCCATGAATTTTCTAATTTTAATATGCATCTACAACGTGTATCAAATTAAGAACAGCAAGCTAAATTATTAAAGCTCCATATTATAATTATAATTCCGGTATTTAAAAACCTGTGTGGAACTTCTAATTGACCAAGCGGAAATTTCCCAGTTTCGTAGAGATAATAGTTTTGCTTAATATAAAGTAACGCTCGAGTTCCTTAATTTAAATCTCAAGCAATACGAATCTTCCTACGCTACGTGAAAAGGAAAATTTATTTTACATTCTCAATATATCCAGTTGCTTTAAAAGTGTTTGTGTCATCCTACGCCTTCGGGCTTTACTTAGCGGAAGTTCAAAATTACTCCATAATCTTCTCTTTTCAATTCAATGGAAGGAACGTTAACGTGTTGAGTTTTATCACTTTTCTATTCTATCTCTTGCAGTTTTAGGATTGTAATATTTTAATAATTGTATTTATGGAGAAATAATCCTATAATAAAATGAAAGGTGTTATCACAAAGATTCTTGTTACTACATTAAAACGTTATGTTACTTTTTTTCAGATTATGTGCTTCTAAGCTATATTTCCTTTGAGAAAATTGGAAAGAAATATTCTTGAAATTTCATCGAATTTTAAACCATTTCTGGAGATAAGAAAGAAAATTTTAAAAAAAGATTACGAAAAAATTATAAAAAGGAAATTAATAGCTACAGAGTGTTTCTACAGTTTCTTTTTATTAAATCCACTAAATAGAATGGAGTGTTAATAATTTTTACACTCTAAAAATCTCTTGCCCTTTTTTGAAAAATTATTGGTCCAAAGGGTTAATTTGCCCAGAAGGGCTTTTAAATTCGTTTTGGAATTTTGCGTCATCCACTATAAAATAATGTTCCACTTTTCAAACTGTTACCACCAAATATTAGAGCCCTGCATTATATTTAAAGAAATTAAGTGATAAAGAATCCGCATGAATGTATGTATGTTCCTCACACTGTGAAAAAACAACGGTACCGAGAGAAATCACATTTTGAATAACGGAAACCTCCACTAGAATATGGGCATCTGAAAGCCCAAATTTTGAATCTGGAATTTGTTTTATTATCTATTTCATATTTTGTAAAACTTTAACCAGTTTTCGATTAACAAATCAACGATTTCGAAGCGAGCAATGGAAACACTGTACGGAAAAGGAAAAACGTTTTTATCTGCAGAGCGTGAGACTGTGTATCGGAAATTCTAAACTTATGCTCTTTTTAAATATTTTGTGACATTGCTGTTGAACTGAATTTTATGGTTGAAGTGCAAAGAACATGATAGTTAATAAATATAGTAACACAAACGTTAAAAAACTCCCTTTTGGGCGTAATATAAATTTTGAATGCTTTCAGATTTTTTATCTATTATCATTACAATTTATCTTTTTTTCCTGACTATAGTACTCTAATCGTATGTTTCAATACATTTCACTTATATTTTCTTTCTTCTGTTTTTAAACATGTAAGAAGACGCATAAGACTTTCTAGAAATCTCATCTACCATTTTCCATATTAACACTTTATTGTGCCACGTGCCACTCATGATCTTATTTTAATTAATTACAATCGTTTGCAACTCAAAAACTTAATTTATGCTCATAAACGTTTCTTCTAAATTCCACTGCCAAGCATCTGCCATACATTGATTCTATTTTTCCCGCATGGCAAGCTTGCACGGATTTCCTTTGACGTTATATTTATTTCCCTCATCCGAGTATTGATCGTTTAGTTATTTTACTTCCAAAAAAGCAACAATTTTAATTCATTTTATCGCTATCACGATCTATGAGGAGTGACATGATCTTTCAAGAAAATTTAATCTTAGCTGATGCGATTTTGTTTTAAAACTTGCTTGCACATGATTGTCGTCTCGATACTAGGAAGTCAGCTATCATATCCTTCACGAATCCGCAATTTCAATAAAAATAGCATATTGGGATATAGCCTTACCCGACTCTTAAATATTTGACATTATGGTGTTTAATGCTGCTTTAAAAATATGTATAATATTGGGCGTAAGATAGTGATAAGACACTAAATTTTTCATCTTTGATATATCTTTCATAATGTTTATACGCGCTAATTAACATCTATGAAGTATATTAAAACAAGACTTATTTCCTTGTTGTTACGTTAAAAATACTTAGAATTTTGTTTTAAATCTTGGATTGCATCACAACCTTTTGATTATCTCGTTAATAGAATATGATAAATGCTAAGTGAATGCCAAATGAAATTAATTAAAAAGCAACAAAAATTTTGCGACAAGATTTAATGTAATGTTATAATGTATTTTCTCCCTTCTTTTTGCACGCCTTATTTTGTAACGGTAGAACACTCGGCGCGTATTCGAGAGATCCACGTTCGAGCCCGCATTTTTCATGTCTACAGTGTCAAAAAATCTAATGACTCTACTTTGGCGCCCGAACTAAAAGGTGGTGGATGATGATTCTTCACCCCCAGCATTTAGCAGCTGAGTCCCCTAATCCCCAGTCTAAAAAGGGGAGTATATAAGATATTTTCTCCCTCTTTTCTTTCCTCTTTTTTCTCCCTTTTTGGCTTCGTGGTGTAACGGTAGCACACTCGGCGTGTATTCGAGTTGTATTTATGGAGATTCGATTTCGAGTCACAGCGAGGGCATTGCTCAATTTTTGTGTGTCCTACTTCAAAACTTTTAGTGACTCTACACAATAAGTGATCTATTCATATGCGTATTATCGATTTTTTGAATTATATGTGCTTCGTCATATATTTGCGCAGTATTCGCCATGCTGTCTGAAAGCCTGCATAGAAAGCTGAACATACAGCTCTCAAAAAAGAGATATAAAAGAATTTTTCCTTAAACATATTTTAAAGCTACGTAAACTTGTATCATTATTTTAATTAACGGTATTTTAAAAAATTCATTATATGCCATAAAATTGAAACCTTAGAAATTTAAATGTTCATACAATGCATGTATTATTTATAATTTTAAAAGCCCATTTTTTGGTTTACCTGTGCATATATGAGCATTAATTAGCGTGGATAATTACAAATTAAGCGTGCATTAAAATAAATATTGTGATAAATCTACATAATTATTCATTAACTGTTAAAATAAGTTTTAAAAATATAAATTAAGCACAAAAATTTGATATTGTAGTCTTGTTTGCGAACTTTTTTCCTTCTTAATAAAAAAGACTATTATCTATTTCATATTTTGTAAAACTTTAATGAATTTTTGATTAATTAACTCAACGATGTCAAAGCCAGCAATGGCAACACTGTACCCCCCCAAAAAAATTTATTCTCCAGCGCGCGAGACTGTGTATCGGAAATTCTAAAGATATATTCTTTTTAAATTATTTTGTGATATTGCTGTTGAATTGAATTTTAAGTACAAAGAACATGATACTTGATAAATAAAGTTAACACACAAAACGTTAAAATAAATGTCCATTTGGGCGTAATATAAAATCCGAAAGCTTCAGATTTTTTCATCTACAATTATATTCACTGTTGAAGAATACATGTATGCTATCTGCTATAAATTTCACACCCGGTTATATTGGTTGAGACAGTTTTCCTTTACAAATTTCTCCCGCCTTCTTAACTACCCTTCGTGGTGTAATGGTCAGCATGCTCGGCACGTATTCGAGAGGTCCGAGGCTCGAGTCCCGGCGAGGGCATTGCTCATTTTTCATGACTCCTGCTTCGAAATAATGTTGCTACAATATAATCTAACTTTTTTTTTTTTAATGTTTATAAAGCTATTACTACGCTGACATCCTATTTCAAGAGATGTTACCAAGACCTTGTCAATAAAGTTTCAAATTTTATTTCTCTAAATTTTCAAGGTTTTTATATAGAAATTCCATTCAATGTAGAATGTCTGAGAGATCTTTATGATTTAAACCAAGCCGGTAAAATATAATAAAGATATTTTGGTAATACACTGTTGCTATGTTTGGTTCTACGAGAATTGTATTCAGTTTTATTTTCATTGGTTAGTGAATAAACTTCTTTTCTAGCTTTAAAGCAGGTGCATTTAAAAAAAAGTCAATTACCTGACACTGGTATTCTCCATCGTCTTCTAGTTGCGCATTCTCTATCCTAAGATCATGAACACCATCCTCACCGCTACCTTCCATCATATACCGAGGAAATCCTGGTATCATTCTGTCGAAACCTGAAATAAATGTAAATAACAATAGTTTTAAAGCTGCCTTTGAGTACAGAGCAAAGTACATGTGATTAAAGTAATATTACTGTTTAAGAAGGTTCAAATAAATTGAGTGTGTATGTGTGTGTGTATTTAATTACGGCAAAGCACACTAGGGCTATCTGCCTAGGAGGAGGGATGCCTTTCGTGGAGGACTTTCTAAGGGAAACTGGCTCGTATACACGTTACACATGGGGAAAACCACGAAAACACCCATGCAGCCAGCCCGTTCGCGGGATTCGAACCTCGGACCGAACTACCAGTGTTCAGCGACTTTACCGCTCGGCCGCTGGTGGGCTCAAATAAATTGAATAAAATGTCTAATTTATTTATTGCCTTTACTGAATGAATGCAATGCTTAATATCAGGCATAAAATATGGAACTACAGTCACATTTTTAAGCCTAATTACCTGCATCAAATTACATAAAAAGAAGTTATCAGTTAACTTGTTAATCCTTAATTAAAATTCATTAGTTTATGCTATTTAAAGACCTGAAAGTTGCTCTTTTATTTAAAATTTATAATAATGTTACGAGTTTTATACATAAGTAAATAATTTAAGTAAAATTACATGTAAAATTACAGTATTTTTTATAATGTAACATGAAATGCTTCAAAGAGACGAACCTCTGCCGGAAAAATAAGAATGTAAGGGTAAGTCCATTTAGCAATAAATGACTATCTCGCTAAAATGGAGAAATATTGCATAGCTGGCGATGGTTTTGGGAACCAAAAATTAGTTACCGAAGTTGGCGAGAAATCGCCAAAAGTAGACAAACTTGGCGACATTTCGGTCCAGTTGCTGTATAGCTAATTGACAATGTAACTGAATACTTATAATTGATCTCTATGTGTAACTGTAACCGTATCTGGCCCTTATATGTAACTTTAGCCGTATATGCTTTCCAGTAATTTCCAGAAACAGAAGGTGATCTGAAGAATTCGGAATATTGAGATACCTGTCAGAGCTTTGTCTTTTAGATGTCCTTTGCATTGCATTGTGTTTAACGTTCTTAGAAATTACGTATACACCAATACTACCATACATATCTAAAAATATGGGTCGTTTTTTATCTACTCGGGTATCTGTGAATTCTTGAACGCCAATACATTAATATAATCGAATTCGAATAGCAGCTGTCCAGTTGCTACGTTAGTTAGATCTCATTTCCTGTGACTTCTTTATGTATATCTAAGTTAAGTTAAATTAGTTGTTTAGCGAACAAAACAGTTGATAAAACATGTTGTAAGAAGTACAGGAAAAGTTATACATTGCAAAATGATATAGTTTAGACGTTTCCTTCGTCAGAAAATGAACTTATATTGCAGATTTTTAAACTGTTTAAAGCTTTAAAATTTTCTGTTTGAAACAGTATCAATTAAAATTCTATAACTATAATAATTACTAATGTTTAAAAAACTTAAAGTGTATCGATCATTTGGAACATTCTGCACACTAATGTTTTCCCATAAAAGGCATGTATTTTCATGGCAAAGAAGTCATACATGAGATACACTAAATAGATATAGTAGTTGGCTGCCTTCGGAACGTTTGCATGCGACTTATAATTTCTTATATACGCTTCATTACCCACAGTGTATAGAAATTTCCCATACAAACTTTAATGGAACACAGAAAATGCTAAATAAATTTTATCAGCGAATATTTATTTTCAGTCGTCAGCTTTTAGTGCAATTGTACTGTTGAGCGTTGTGCCAATAGTTATTTTTAACTGCCATCAAAGCAAAGCTGACTTCAGATTTATCACATGGAACATAAATGTTAAAGTTATTGATGTGTTTTTAGCTCAGCTGATAACCACTGCAAAAGAAAGCTGAACTGTTGGGAAGCACACACACGATGGTTCTAGTTGTCATTGTTGTCGTGGTCCTAAGGCATAAAATTCATTAACGCTGTCCACACTTTCGGAACGGAATTTAAGTCGTAACCAATCAGGAAAGTAAAGTTGCGCATGCGTGAATATGCAGCTGACTACGTAAAATTGTTGACAAATGTTAGTTCGTTTTTCTTCTCTGTGACTGATCGACTCGTTGGTATAAAGCTGAAAAGTTAGGACATTCAGACAAAATCTTTATACCACTTTCTGTGATGTACCAAGGTTTGGTTGCCTAGCAACGCAATTTATGCCTACTTTGTGCCTCACAAAACACGTATGAACGCTCCGTAAACTTCTAAACTGAGTTCTCTAAGAGTTGCTAGCCGAATCATAAAGCATTTGCATGTTTGCTCAGGAAGCTGAGAAAAACTGGAGCATTATTCCCTGTAAATATACAACAATTATTAATTTGCCCTTATGTTATAGGTAAATACGTTGTTCATATTTCATCTCTGCCAACTAACAACATTCTCAACAACAAACTGTGAACCAACATACAAACAATACAGTATTAACGGAAAAGGTTTAAGTATGAGATCTGTCGTTTCTGTTAAAATTTGGACAAACATTTTCAGAATATCTTGTCCAAAGATGAATGACTAAAACCTTTCTTTAAATTAAAACTAAATATTAGGCTCTTTTAATTATTGTTTAAATTCTTCATAAATAAATTATATAAAATAATCACATTTTGCGTGACATAGTTTTACTTAAAGTGTCAACACAAGTATAAAGAAGTTGTCTTCCACTTATTCTCACCCAGTCGTTGTTTAAAAGAAGGCAAAGGAATGGTTCTATCAAAACCACGAAGCATCGGGAATTAAACTGCAGAAGTAATAAACAGGAACGTTTTTCGACATCAATTAAAGAACGACAGAAGGCTTCCAGCGCCCTCTACTCACTTCCTTCAAATTGTACAAAGTAGCAAACAGAAAAGAAACGATGTGTCTCGAGTTGCAGAGCAGATTTCCGAAAAGAATGAAATTCCGAATTTCCTAGCTGAGGGCAAAAGACAACACCATTTTTCAGAGCAGTCTGTGAGATATTTCCTGCATCTAGTGAAGGTTTTCTCTGAATAACTGGCTCAGAGAACATTCCTTGTTTTCGGCTCACTGATGCGACAGTTTAATTAAGCAAAGAATCTTTCGAGGTTTGTGATCGTCTTACTGCTTAGTTGGGTCTTCGTGTTTCAAGAACGTTTTGCCATTGCTTCAGGGCAGGAGAGGTGAAAGGAAAAAAAATCAATAACGAGAAACATGTGAATAATGAGTTACAATTATTGTTAGCACTGCATTTATAGAAGTTAGCTTTATTCTCTCAGACGTATAGCAAAAGAATAAAGTTGGAATAAGTATTTTAAGTATGTTGCTGAAGTTGAGCAAAAGTTTACAAGTTTATGAGCAATAAAAGTTGGAACAAATGTCAGGATTTTGGATTAATGATCTAGGAATGTAATAAAGATAACAAATTCTTTCGAAACATAAATCCTGTCAATGATTTTTACAGCAGCGCCCATCCAATATTTTTTAAAATTTTCAAATTTAGTTAAATGTTTTGATTCATTTTCTAAAGTGAAACAGTACTGCCCTTTGGCAAATGTTGGCAAAATTTTAGCAGTTTTCTTCGGATCATTTTATTGGAAAATTATGTTTTTTCTAAACAATTTTCTATAACAATGCGCTGAAAGTTTTTAATATTTACTAGCCGGCAGCAGACGAAACAAAGTTTGTAAGTCCTTTGTGTCCCTGGAAAGCAAATGTATGAAAACATTTCAGTATGAAAGAAATTAGTTCATGCTTTCTAAGCAACAACCAATTGGTAATTTTTTTATTGCCGAACCAGAAAACGAAAACATTGACACTTCAGGTTAATAGGTATGACTTCATGATTTAAATTTAATGTAATATAACAACATTTTCTCAATATCAATAAAAACACGAACGTGGCAATAATATATCGTGTTAATTATACTAACCTGAAAACACAAATGTTGCCAACAACAGCTATTTATTTAAAATGCTGACATTAAAGAACAATTTCGACATACAGTCACGTCACATGCAATTGCGTGCTTTCTTCAACGTCAGACTACGACCTTATATAATAGAAGTTTGGCAATGTTATTTCTATTTCATGTTTTGTAAAACTTAGAAAATTTTTATTAAGAAACTCTACGATTTAAAAGCGAGAAGTGGCAACACTTTTCGAAATAAGGCAGATTTTTATCTGCAGCGCGCGAGAAATGTTGCCACTCGAAAAAAGGAGAGGGAAAATTAGTGTTCTCAGAGTATTTAATTCATATCTCAGATGAATAAAGTCGTATGAATATGAAAATTGTTGAAATGGTTTTCTACGAATTTTTAAAATCCAGGGGTACCTCTCTTCCCACTGTTCCGGAGGATATAATGCCACAAATAAACAGACCCGAACAAATCTTAATAATATATATTACAAGAGAGCAGTGATATATTTAGCCTTTTTAAAGCATTTCTAATTAAGAGTGTACTACTATTCCGAGGTGAAAGTTACTTATTGCATTATTAATTTGTTTACCTGAAATCAACAGACGTAACAGTAACCATACCCGAGACGAAAATAAATTAAACGAGTAAGAGCTTCTGCAGTATTTAAAAGCATTTATCAGAAATTTTTATTCACTTCATTTTTGTTTTTCTCAACTAATAACACTCTACTCAAAGCCCTCTTTCAATTTAATTTCATCTTCGACGATTCATAGATAATAATATCACTCAAGTATTTTTCTTTCGTCAAGAAGCGAGGCCCATGCCAATTTCTTTTGAAACGTACAGTGTTTTTCTTTAAACCCTAATGTCAGATTAAACTATAAATATTGCCTGATTTTAAATTTAAGTTCCAGTATTTATTTCTAAATAGTGATTAATTGATTCGTTTCTAAAATTTATCAACTGACTACCCCTGCTGTTTCACAAAAATATGCCAGAAAAGTTGTATCAGATATTCGAGCCTCAGCAAATAATTCAAACTCATAATTATTAAAAAGAACAGATTCCTGAAGAAAATATTGATGATTTCTAATCTCAGATCT